TCTGCATTACCATTTTGTTTGCCCGGATGATATTGCATGGTGAAGTTGTACGGTTGAAGGGCTAGGCTCCACCGTAAAAGTCTAGGGTTGTCGCCAGCCACCCGGTTTAACCACACCAACGGGTTGTGGTCGGTCATCAGAGTAAACGGCCGGCCGTACAAATAAGGTTGGAGTTTTTTAAGGGCCCACACCAGGGCTAGGCACTCCTTCTCCACGGTGGCATAGCTGACTTCCCGGGGCAACAGTTTACGACTTAGATAGGCCACCGGGTGTTCCATGCCGTCGTCTCCCACCTGGCTTAACACGGCTCCCAGCCCAAACATGGAGGCATCTGTGTGGACAAGAAATTGTTTAGAGTAGTCTGGTGCTGCCAACACAGGAGCCTCACTCAATGTGGCTTTCAGTTTCTGGAAGGCTGCCGCGCACTCCAGGTAACCTGTTTGGAAAGGGCCTTTTTGGTGAGATCAGTGAGGGGTTTGGCCAGGGCGCTATAGTCGGGGACAAATTTCCGGTAATAACCGGCTGTTCCTAAGAAGGCTAAGACCTGGGTCTTAGTCCGAGGTTGGGGCCAATTAGCTATGGCCTCTATTTTGGCAGGCTCAGGCCGCTGTTTACCTGACCCTACCCTGTGGCCGAGGTACTGTACCTCCGCCATACCCACGTGACATTTGTCTGGTTTCAACGTAAGCCCTGCTTGGTGAATTCTCTCGAGCACTCTGGACACGTGGCCTAGGTGGTCTCCCCATGTTTGGCTGTAGACAGCAATATCGTCTAAATATGCACATGCAAAGTCCTGGAGTCCCTCCAGGAGCCTGTCAGCCATCCGCTGAAACGTAGCCGGGGCATTCTTCATCCCAAAGGGCATAACCTTGAATTGGTAAAGCCCAAAAGGAGTGACGAATGCCGACTTGGGGATGGCGGCAGACTCCAGGGGGATCTGCCAGTACCCTTTGCACAAATCCAGAGTGGTCAAGTAATTACCTCCGGCCATACGGTCCAGTAACTCATCTATTCTGGGCATGGGGTAGGCATCTGTTATGGTGCGGTCGTTGAGCCTCCGGTAGTCTACACAGAAGCGTGTGGTGCCGTCACGATTCGGTACTAGTACTACCGGAGAAGCCCAAGTGCTTTGAGAGGGTTCTATTACCCCTAACTTGAGCATGTCGGCAAGTTCTGCCAGCATGCTCTCACGCACGGCCTCGGGATTCGGTATGGCGGCTGCCGTAGTGGCGTCTCTCCCTGGGTATCTACCCGGTGTACCGCAGCGGAGGTATAGCCTGGGATGGCAGAAAACATGCCCTGGTATTCCCGGAGTAAGCCGGCCGCTTCCTGTCGCTCTATAGGTTGTAGGTTCTGACCAAGACTGACCTGGTCAATACTGCAGGGAGAGGAGTCTAGGACTCTGTCCCGGGCACCCCTGTCGTAGCACCTCTTTTGGCAGACCTGGGCCGCCTGCAGGTTCTCCCGAACTGATTCGGTGAGAGTTCGCAGCCGGTCGCGGAACTCCAATACGTATTGGACTATAGGGATCCCCCCATCATCCGTGTTGCCTTCCCAGTGCTCCCATACAAGATCCAGGGGGCCCCGAACTTTTCTCCCGAACAGGAGTTCGAAGGGGGAAAACCCCGTGGATGCCTGGGGCACCTCACGATAGGCAAACAGAAGATGGGGAAGATACCTCTCCCAGTTCCTGCAGGACTCTGCGAACGTTTTTAGCATTTGCTTGAGCATGCCGTTAAAACGTTCACAGAGACCGTTGGTCTGGGGGTGATATGGGGCGCTAAAGAGGGCTTTCACTCCACAGCTCTGCCACAGCTGTTGTGTCAGGAGAGCTGTGAACTGAGTCCCTCTGTCGGATAGGATCTCCTGGGGGAAACCTACCCGGGAGAATACTTTGACCAGGGCCTCAGCTACCGTTTCGGCCTCTATATTGGGAAGGGCTACGGCTTCGGGGTACCGAGTGGCATAGTCCACTACGATGAGTATGAACCTTTTACCAGACTGACTGGGCCGACTGAGGGGTCCTATTAAATCTACCGCTACCCGGTGGAACGGCTCTTCTATGATGGATAACGGGTGGAGCTTTGCTTTTTGGTGGTCACCCCGTTTCCCTATTTTCTGGCAAACGTCACAGGTCCTGCAATAGTATTTGAGGTCTTGAGTGATCCTGGGCCAGAAGAAAGTTTGGGTCAGGCAGTCCCTAGTCTTCTTAATCCCTAAATGTCCGGCTAGGGGAATATCATGGCTGAGTCTTAGTAACTCAGCCCGAAACTTGCGGGGCACTACTAGTTGTCTTTTAGTAGCCTGGGTGGTTCCGTGTCCCGCCCCATCTGTCACCCTATACAACAGTCCCTTATGCCATTCAAACTTTTCGTGGGGGTTGTCGCCCCTATTGTCCCCTACTGCTTTTCTATACCCGGCTAGAGTGGGGTCAGTCCTTTGTTCCTGCTCAAACCCCTGGGGAGTATCCCAGAACGAGGGAGGGGGGTCGGGTAAAGTGGGGATGTCAACTCCTACCTGGGTTTCCTCAGAGTGCAGCGGTGCTTTCCAGTCTGGCTTGAGCTCGGGTGGTAACCGGATACGCCTCAGCTGTGGTGTCTCGGGCTAACTGGGAAGTTAAACAGCCCACATCATTCCCCAACAGTGCTTCGGCTGGTAGCTCCTGCATAATGCCAACCTCTAGTTGTTTAGATCCCGAGCCCCAATCCACAAGAACTTTAGCCGTGGGTAATTTGTGGATGGCACCCTTACTGCCACAGTGCGGCCCGTGTGAGTTTGAGCCTTGACAGTGTGCGGTTGAACCACAGTTAACGTGGCCCCAGAGTCTCTTAAGGTGCGGGCCCCCACCCCGCCTACCGTAATCCATTGACGGTGGTGGTCCCGGTTGTCACCCCGGGCTTGCACAGGGTTGACTTCGTGCAACACACTCCATTGTTCCTCGTGGGGAGGTACCCATGATGTACTCTCCTGCTGTACACAATGAGCAGCGGCCCTGGGTTGTGACTGTGGAGGTTGCCTTTCCCAGCTTCCGCGGTTTAAACGTGGGCACTGATTTTTAAAGTGTCCTGGTTGTTTGCAGTAGTGACACACTGCAGGTTGTCGGGGTGCTGCTGCTGGGTTGTGGGGCGAATTACTCAGGGGGGCTCTAGGTGGTGCAGCCATGGTTGGGGCTGAATAAGGTTGTTTAAACGCAGGTCGGCTCACCCCTTGTTCTCGCCTCCGGTTATCCTGGTATTCATTTTGCCAGTCTTGCTGCCTCCTCCACAGTTTTAGGCTTCCTGTCTTTAACCCAGTCCTTGATATCCTCTGCGGTATGGTTAAAAAATTGTTCTAATAGGAGGAGTTGTAACGCATCCTCCAGAGTGGTTGCTTGGCAGCCCTTCATCCAATTTCGGGCTGCCCTGTGTAGCCGGAATGCCCATTCAGTATGGGTATCCCTCCCTGTTTTCCTCAGTTCCCTGAATTTCTTCCTGTATGCCTCAGGGGTAACTGCATATCTAGCCAACAAAATGTCTTTTATCTTTCCATAATTATGAATATCTTCATCAGGTACTGCTCATGCTGCTTCTGATGCTCTGCCTGACAACTTGCTGTTCAGTACTGCAGCCCATTTGGTGGAGTCTAATCCCTCCAGTGCACATTGCCTTTCAAAGTCTTGCAGATAACTATCAATCTCCATTTCATTGTCATTAAAGTTTTTAAATGCAGCATAATTTACCTTTTTCGGCATGTCATTTGTACTTCCCGGGGAGTGTAGCAAATCCCCCCGTAGTAGTCTGTCATCTCGCTCCTTCTGTGCTTGCCTGGCTTGTGCCATGACCTGCAGCATCGCCTCTGTTGCTGGATTAGGTCCCAATAAACTTAGCATCCATCTGATGTCCTTCTGCATCACCGTTTCTTCCTCAGGTTCCATTTCTGTAGTGCTGGTTCTGTCGCCCTGTAACAGCTCTGCAATTAACGTGGCTTTTGTTTTGTTGCTTGCTATTACGCCTCGAGCTTCCAGCAAATCCTTAAGCGTGGTTCTTTTAAGCTGTTGGTACTGCTGCGCCATTCATTGCTTTGCTTGCTTTAAAACGTCCGTTCGGGATTCGAATCCCGCCGCTTGCCACCAGTTGTAAGGAAACCAAGTACATTTAAACCTTAATCGGTAGTTTCCTCCCGAACAGCCAGAGCCCAGTGAATATAGCCCTCCGTCCGGTAGTTATGGTAGACGAATTCCCAATTGTAAATCCAATAGTGTTCCTGGATAATTCCCACAGTAAAACACACGAACTCCCAAACAGCATACGTAGTCAAAATAAGGGTACAAAGATGAACTGTTTATTGGCACACAAAGAACCTTCCTTTATGCAGGTCCCCATGCAAGGGGACATCCCACTGGGTGGGACACAGTACAACCAATCACACAATGGTTACATCCCACACATCCCCTCCCCTTAGCCTGAGAGGTAACCCAATTATCCGTACATTTTAAAACACACTTTTTACCCAACTTTCATAACTCCAAAACCATACATCCAATATTAATAAAAGTAACATATTATTAATCAGCACATCCCAAATACAAACATACCCAAAAATCATGCAAATCCTTCCATTAGTTCAAAAGTTTAGTTGTGACCAAAGGAAGCATGGCTTTTCCTGCCCAAACCAGTTCCCACTGGTCTGGCAGTGTCCCTGGGACCACTCCCTGCTTGAGAACAATAGACAGGAAACGGGGGAGGGGAAGAAACACACCTTCCCATGGATTCCAGTGGGGAAGAAACTGTCTTTAGAAGCCAATAAGCCCCAAAGTTTGGATTTATAAAGGGGTGACAGGGTGGTCTGCATTCGGTAGTTTTACCTACCGAATGCCATAGGGAAACATTGCTATTGACACAAATACAAAGAGGGCATATACAGAATAAAAAAGGCATTTCTTCACACCGCGGCTGCCATGGTGCTGCATATTCAAATACCGCGGGAGCCATGGTGCTGCTTATTCAAATACCGCGGCTGCCATGGTGCTGCTTATTCAAATACCGCGGCTGCTATGGTGCTGCTTATTCAAATACCGCGGCTGCCATGGTGCTGCTTATTCAAATACCGCGGCTGCCATGGTGCTGCTTATTCAAATACCGCGGCTGCCATGGTGCTGCTTATTCAAATACCGCGGCTGCCATTGTGCTGCTTATTCAAATACCGCGGCTGCAATGGTGCTGCTTATTCAAATACCGCGGCTGCCATGGTGCTGCTTATTCAAATACCGCGGCTGCCATGGAGCTGCTTATTCAAATACCGCGGCTGCCATGGAGCTGCTTATTCAAATACCGCGGCTGCCATGGTGCTGCTTATTCAAATACCGCGGCTCCATGGAGCTGCTTATTCAAATACCGAGGCTGCCATGGTGCTGCTTATTCAAATACCGCGGCTGCTATGGTGCTGCTTATTCAAATACCTCGCCTGCTATGGGGCTGCTTATTCAAATACCGCGGCTGCTATGGAGCTGCTTATTCAAATACCGCGGCTGCCATGGTGCTGCTTATTCAAATACCGCGGCTCCATGGAGCTGCTTATTCAAATACCGCGGCTGCCATGGTGCTGCTTATTCAAATACCTCGGCTGCTATGGTGCTGCTTATTCAAATACCGCGGCTGCCATGGCGCTGCTTATTCAAATACCGCGGCTGCTATGGGGCTGCTTATTCAAATACCGCGGCTGCCATGGTGCTGCTTATTCAAATACCGCGGCTGCCATGGTGCTGCTTATTCAAATACCGCGGCTGCCATGGAGCTGCTTATTCAAATACCGCGGCTGCTATGGAGCTGCTTATTCAAATACCTCGGCTGCTATGGGGCTGCTTATTCAAATACCGCGGCTGCTATGGAGCTGCTTATTCAAATACCGCGGCTGCCATGAAACTGCTTTTGCTTATTCAAATACCAGCGGGAACCATGGTGCTGCTTGTTAAATACCTGCGGCTGCCGCCGGGTCATAGCTTATTCAAATACCCGCGGCTGCTATGGTGCTGCTTATTCAAACTCACCGCGGCTCCACGGGCTGTATTCAAACTCGCGGGAGCCATGGTGCTGCTTATTCAAATACCTCGGCTGCTATGGTGCTGCTTATTCAAATACCGCGGCTGCTATTGAGCTGCTTATTCAAATACCGCGGCTGCTATGGTGCTGCTTATTCAAATACCGCGGCTGCAATGGTGCTGCTTATTCAAATACCGCGGCTGCCATGGTGCTGCTTATTCAAATACCGCGGCTGCCATGGTGCTGCTTATTCAAATACCGCGGCTGCTATGGTGCTGCTTATTCAAATACAGCGGCTGCCATGGGGCTGCTTATTAAAATACAGCGGCTGCTATGGTGCTGCTTATTCA